GTTCTGAGGCTCGGTGCAGGGCGGCCGGCCGCGCCACAGCCAGGGGAACGTTGGCAGGTTGCAACGGGGAGAAGTTTTCCGTGAGCACAAGTGCAAAGGGTGGCCGGGTTGCAACTGGAGGTGTGGGGTCAAGCGGCCTGCAGCCGTGTCGTGCCGTGTCGTGCCGTGTCGTGCCGTGCCAAGGGGCTGCACCGTTGGCCGGAGCGCACCAGGTGGGAATGGCTGTGGGGGTTCACGGGACCGGGGCGAGAAGGGGGTGCGGTGTCTCTCCCAGCAGCGCCCGCGACTGCTCGGTGGGATTTGCATGAATCGGCAGATTTAGCTCAGCCCTTCCTACACCGAGTTAAATCTTGTCCCTAGTTTAACCCCTTTGCACAAGTCCAGACTGCTGTAAACCTATTGTTATTTCCCTTTATTTCCTTAATTGTGTTGTAAAACTCCAGCTTCTGCGAACAGCCTGCTGCGGACGTGACGTGCTCGTGCGGTGACCTCTGTGCTCCCGGGGCTTTGGCTCCGGCTGGGAAATGTCTCCGGGGCAGGGTGGGAAGGGCCCAGGGAAAGCCGGACGAGGAGGCTCCCACCACCTCAGTGCAAACCTCGGGCAGCGTTTCCACTGCTCGCAAAAAACTGCGTGCCATCCGCCGGCTCTGCCCGCTCCAGCTCCCCGCCGTGTGAGGTTTTTTTAGGGAGCTCTGTCTGCCCACATGGGAAGTTTTGGGGGGAGTCAGCTTGAGATATGGGGCTGCCCTTGGTTGGGGGGTTATGCTCTGGGAACCTGGCAGTGGCTGTGTTGCCTCCCCAGCGCCCATGGAGTATGTCAGCACGCGGGGATTTGCGGGGACCGTCGACTTTGAGGGAGCTCTCTTCTCCGGCTACGCAGCCGACGGGGGCCTCTTCATGCCCCAGCGCATCCCCTTGCTGGACCAGGATGCCCTGCGGAGGTGGAGCTGCCTGTCCTACCGGGAGCTGGTGAAGGAGCTGTGCTCCCTCTTCATCACGGCCGAGCTGGTCCCGCGGAACACGCTCAACGGTGAGCCTCAACCGTGCAGGGAGCTTCTCACCGGAGCTTCTCACCGGGATGTGCACGAGGGTTTTGGGGTGCCTTCACCCCATCCTTTTCAGAGCCCACAGAGGATGGACCTGTTGCACCATTGCCTGCTCCTTTCTGTACCCTCTTCTCCTCTGTCACCTTGCGGGGGCTTGGTACCTGCTGGAAAAGGTGTCCCCTGTGTGCAGAGAGGGATTGTGGTGACTGCAATAGTGATGGCTGATGCCATGGTCCTACTCAGTGCTCCAGACCTGCCCTCCCACCAGGTCTTTCTGCAGCTCCACGCTCTGGTTGGGATACGGTTTTTAATGTTCTTCACATTTAAAAGCAATGGCTTCCACCAGAGGGCAGCTACAACCTCTGTCTCAGTGGCACGTTATGATGCAATTCGGGTTTCCTGTATTTTATATTTAACGCAGTTTGCTCTGACTGTGTCAGGTGCCCCCTGGGGTCTGTCACCATAGAGCTGTCAGAGACAACAAAAAGTCAGTTGGTTTACTCCTAATACCTGAGAATAACTTGTTGGAGATCTGTCACCTCTCCAGCAACTGAGTCCTTGGTTGTGCAGAAAGCTTCCCAGGAGTGTGAAGAGAACAGATGCAGGAAGGTCAGAAAAATAGTCCTTCTCCCAATCTAACAGACCCTTTAACCATTTTCCCCTCTAGACCTGATCGACAGGGCGTTCAAGACACAAGGACATCGTCCATCTGTCCAGGCTGAAAGACGGGCTAAATGTCTTGGAGCTGTGGCATGGGGTTACTTATGCTTTTAAGGATCTGTCCTTGTCCTGCACAGGACAGTTTTTACAGTATTTCTTGGAGAAAAAGCAGAAGCACATCACTATTCTGGTGGGTGAGTATGCCTCTTTGTGAGGAGCAAAACTTCTGGGCAGGTCTTGACCTTGAGACACATCATCCCATGGCCCTCCCCATAGATGCCCTGGGGTGGTGTTGCCTCATGGGTGGCTGCTGAGTGATCTCTGGGCAATGCCAGGCTGGCTGCTGTAGCCAACAACATCTCACGGAACATCTCTGCATCTTTTTCTTTAAGTGCAGTGATGCAAGCCTCACTGACACATCAATATTTTGCTTTTATTACTTCTCCCTCACTTTGAAACAGGCACTTCAGGGGACACGGGGAGCTCGGCCATCGAGAGTGTGAGAGGGCAGAAGAACATGGACATCTTTGTTCTGCTGCCTAAGGGGTTCTGCACCCAGACACAGGAACTTCAGATGACCACCGTCATTGAAGACAACGTCCACGTCTTTGCTGGTGGGCACTACTGTGGGACTGTCCACTTCATGGCCCTGCTGTGTCAAAACCGTGACCCTAAAAGTCTCAGGGGGCTGCTGCTTTAGCAGCTGCAGCCAGCCAGGTCATTGCCATCATGGCCACTGTGCCCAGATGCCTGGCTAACAGAAGCCTATAGCAGACATCCCCGCCCTGATGAAAAGTGGTTCAAGGCTTCTTTTTCTCCTGGCCACAGATCAGACCTGACCCCATGCAGGTGGTTGGTGTTTAGCTGCACTGAATTCAACACCATTTCTTAGCACTAAAAGGATCAAGAGTCACCCCTTCCCTCTGTCCCCTCACCTCCATGGGTGGTTCTCTGTGCCGTCCCTGTGGTTAGTAATCATTGCTGGGTGCTTGAGCCATCCCATGGACTCCGCTGCTCAGCCAGGTCTCACCTTGGCCTCTCACAGGGGATGCAGGAGTTTGCCTTCCTGGCAGATACATACGTGGCATAGGCAAGAGCCCAGAGTGCCATGTCTGCAGGAACCACCCAGCATCTGTGTTGATGCTGCTCAACCCTGGCTCGTAGAGCACCTGAGGCAGTCGGACAGCTCAGGACACTCCTGGCTGCTGCAAACCCCAGGGCTCGAGACTGGCCCTATTTCTGAGCAGAAATACTTTGTGCCTGATGCGCTGATGTTGGCAGATCTAATCTTTCCTTTCTCCTTTTGACAGCTCATGGGAACAGCGATGAAATCGATGAGCCAATCAAGGAACTGTTCGCCGATGTTGATTTTGCCAGAAAATACAATCTGATGAGCTTGAATTCGGTCAACTGGTCTAGGATTATGGTGCAGATTGCTCACCACTTCTACGCTTACTTTCAGTGTGCCCCATCCCTGGATGCCACCCCGCTGCCAGTGGTGGAAATTGTTGTGCCAACAGGAGGAGGAGGAAATATCACAGGTGAAGGGAAAAAAGATAGGTTAGATAGGGAAGAGAGTGCTGTGACCTATGGACTAAAAGCACTTTGCAGATGCTGGGTATTGCTATTTATTAAAACACCCACTCTCTGGTAGGATTTCTTCAGAACCATTTATATTTTATTACTCATGTATGGTTATTACTCATTTAGGTGTCACTGATGCAAGGTGCAGAAAATCCCAAACCACCTTTTAATGATGACTGTAGCTATCTTGAGGATGGGCACATTAGAAGAGGACAGAATGTGTTTGATCCAGAAAAGAGGGAAAATACTGTGGCTCTGATTTCCTAAGTGAGACATTAACAGGGGTGTGGAGTCCTGCCTGGTCCTACTCTGGTTTGCATGGTAGTGTGCAATCAAAGAGAACCACTCTTAATTGCATAATCCTGCCTTCTAAATGTGAGTCGTGATTGCCTCCATCCCAAAATAGGCATACAACTGTCTTATGAAAGCAAAAAATTATTTGATGCACTCTGCCACATTCACTGTATTTCCAGGCTGTCCATCTGAGGCAGCATCAATAAGATGCAAGAGTCCAAAATCTTCATCTCTCTAGCTTGAGCAGCTGCCCATCCCTCTTCAAATGTGGAGATGCCCAAGAGTCTGTTCAGTGGAAGGTGAAGCATTGCATCCCTGGATTTTATAATCTGGTGCTCTAACAGAACATAAAAGACAGATATCTCAGAGTCCATTAGGGAATGTCATTTGTGTCTGCTTCTAAACTATATGCTCAATCAATTTGTACAATGACTTATTTGCTAAATCCCCTTTGAACGTTTCTTCATCAAGCACACATCTGTTATGTCACTTTTTTTTAGCTGGCTGTATCGCCCAGAAAATGGGTCTCCCGATTCGTCTTGTTGCCGTGGTTAACAGCAATGACATCATTCATAGGACTGTTCAACATGGAGATTTCTCACTGTCGGAGACTGTGAAGGCTACGTTAGCATCAGCCATGGATATTCAGGTATGTCATGAATTGGCCAAAATGGGAAAATACCAAATATTATTTATTTTTTATATTTTTTTTCCTTGTACCCTGTTCTACCTGGTTTATGAGAGCATAATCCTGCCACTGGGAATGCCTCTCAGCGACGCATTGAGTTGTGACTCATATCGCACATTTATGCTGCAGACTGCTGCGCTGAGATAGATCAGACTCTTTCTCTCTCACTTTTCAGGGCTTGATTTTGTAATCTTCATTGTTAAATGCTGGGTTTCTGGGGTTTCATTAGGTGCAAGGTTAACAAGAGAGGGACATTTTCTCAAAATGTGACACTTACTTAGAAAATTGTAAATCCCATCACGACTCAAGAGCTTTGATGATGCTTCTGAAAGGCTCCACAGGGAGCCAGGGACCAGGAAGTAGGTAGGGAAGCCCAGAAGAAATGCCTCATCTGTGGCCATGTGCAGCTTGCTCAGGGCAAGGCAAGTCTCAGCAGGCAGTCAAAGGCCTCAGAAATGAAGTGTCATGGAGGTCCAGAAACCAAACATCTGTAAGGAAATACCTCCCATTTCTTACCTACCCCGTGATCCACAGGGGTTGGATCTGCTTCCAAACAAGTGAACCAAGTGTGAAACACTTGGTGGTGGATCACTGTGGCCTTAAGCTACCTGGATTTTCCAAAGCTGTTCAAACACACTGGGACGACCTGGGAGCCTGGAGGAGCTGCCATGCTTTGCAGTCAGTAAGTCATTATGCCCCTGTCACCAGGCTGCTGGGGTCTGCATCTTGAATGTCCTCACGAAGCATGAGTCTGTGGGGCTCCTCAGAGCTCAAAGGGTAGCTGGCCTCCTCTCTTGGCCCATGTCCCTTCAGTAGCACAGGTCTGCTGAGGCACCTAAGCATGTGCCACACTGTGGGAGCATGAGGGAAGGCAACCAAGAGAGGTGATGTTCAAAGATTCCAGAGGAGCTGGATGGTGCACCCCTCTGTACATCCCTCAACGACTGCATGAGACATCATCATTCAGCTCACATCTGAAGCATCCATACAAATATTTCCGTAGCTCAACAGATCGTTCATGCTGGAGAGGAAATCAGGAGGTCTCTAGTTGGGACCTGCTCAGAGCAGGTCAGCCTGGGTTGCTCAGGGCTTTGTCCAGTCAGGTATTGGAAACATTCACAGTCTCTTTAGGTTGCCTCTTCTGCAGACCAAGCTAAAACAGAGAACATTTTCCAGTTAGACACTAACTGAAGAGTTGAAAGTGAGGCAGAAAGTGAAAGTGAAGGGCGAGACTTGGAAGGAGCAATCCCAGGAGAATCCATATGTCAAAACTTTACTTGGGAACGGTCACCAGCATGACCTGTCCTCCATACTGGGCCCTGGTGTTCTCCTGGACAACTCCAGTGGCATGGGACAAAAGCAGATCAGAGAGCTGGCTAATAAATGACAAGGCTAGTGTTTGCACCAGTGTCCTGTCCCAGTCTGAGTTACTGGTGTCAGTCTAGTGATCTGTAGTGGCTGGCATGATTGGAGGGTGAAGGGGAATGTCTGGATGTGGGAGCAGCAGAACGAAGGACAGGAGAAGGGGTGTCAGGAGGACGATGTTGGAGACACCTCTAGTAGCCGGTCACCAAAGTCCAGGCATGCTGACACATAGCTTCTCAGGACAGCCAGGTTGGCAAGCAGAGGACAGCCTAAAACAGGGGACAGCCTAAAGCAAAGGGCAGGCTACACCCAGACGAGACTGAAGATTACAGACTGGAGGCTCTGGGAGATGATGGTGGGAAGATGAAAAACAGGACTGGGGCCATAAGTCACCCAGATAAAGGCACAAAAGGCTGAGTAAGTCCTGATGACTCGCAAAGGTAGGACAGGATGGGGAGACAAAAGGTCACGGAACTGTCAGCTACTAAAAAGTATAAAAAGCTTATCCAAAACCAGCACTTGAACCCAGGAGATGTGATGAGGACTCAGTTTTTGGTGCCCCTTGTCCTGTCTGTCCCTACGAGGTATCTCAGCCAAGCCACCTGGATGAATGTTTCCTGGTGCTGGTGAGCATGCAGGAATGAGACAGTGAAATTGGTTTGGGACCCTCCTGTATGGTCATGCACCGAGTTCTGCTGCAGTGTTGCAACACTGATTGCTACATAGCCATACAGGCTAGTCAGGCCCTATATGTGCCTTGTATGTTCATGAAGATTATCGGTCAGCCCTTCAGGGAGCTGGGTGTCTCATTAAGTCACGCGGGAGCTGGGTGACTCACAGCAGCATCTGCAACACTGAGTAAACAGCTGGATATTTCTGGTTCTTGAATACATGGTGTGTTATTAGCCTGGGTTCCTCGAGGTGACTGTACAGATGTGGTCACATCGTTATCAGTCATCCCTCTTTTTTTTTTTCTGATGGTCACTGCCAGACTGCTCTGACAGGTCAGAGGTGTGAAAGACATCGTGTTCCCAAAAACCTGCGTTGGGATGTAGGTATGCAGGGGGAAGACACAAAGCCCACCCCAGCTTCCACCAAGAAAAACGCGGCAGTAGGACCTCAACCCTAATTAGACATCAGAGAATCCACACAGGTGCTCTCCCCCTGAGACACACGCACAGATTCCAAAAAAAAAGCCCCTATTGCCTTGTTATCCCAGGAGCCTTACAACATGGAGAGGATCCTCTGGCTGCTCTCGGGCTCCGACAGCCACCTGACAAAAACGCTGATGGAGCAATTCAGCAGCTCAAAAAGCCTTAAGCTGCCGGAGGACTTGCACAGAAAGGTCAGTTCCTCATGCATGCAGCATCCTGTGTGTAAGGAGGTTTACCTGCCAGTTGTTTTCAACTCATTTTGAGAATAAAAAAATCACAGTGGAGAGTTTCCAACCAAAAATTTAAGTGTCAAGCCAGAGGAGATTTATACCAGTGTATGTGCATGAAGATGTTAAAAACCCATTTTTAATATTTTTTTTTAAGAGACCTCTTTCTTCTTGGCAAAAGTGATTAAGAACTGCCTACAATTATTTAAGTACAATATGCAACCATCCCTTCCTTGTTCACTACAGTGCCGGCATTGGCCGTGCACCAAGGCATCGTGCAGTGGGTGCTGGCACAAACTGAGCATGGTTTTTGGGAATGTGTCTGCTGGGTTCGAGTCTGGATTGCAGCACCTGGCAAATGGGAGAATGAACACAAAGCAGAGAGAAATGCAAGAGTAATTCGAAATTTTGAGTTGTGAGGGTCTTTGGGCCAGATGCAAAGTCTTGCCTCTGCCCATCCAACACACGCTGTCCCCCACTGAGCATCCTTTGTCCCACGTCTGCTCCTGCTTGTGCAGCAGCAAAATAAATACTAAAAAATTGTATTACTGAAAGAAGAGCTATTACATTGAGGTGGGTTTTACAAGCCCTCAGAAAACCCCTTGGAGCATGCAAATAGCAGCGCAGAGCTGAAGAGCTGAGTCTCGGTTCCTCTCCACCCACAGTCCCAGCACCTGGGGATGGAAACCCCTCACTCGAACCCCAGCCCCGCGATCATTTCCAGCAGTGCCTCATCCCCCAGCTGCAGCAGCAACCCCTTTTCCTTTAGTCCCATCCTCTAGCCTCCCTATTTCCAACTGCATTGCTGAGTGCTCGTGGCACAAGACCGGCTGGGGACGTGTGGGGTGGTGATGCCCTGTACCAATCTTCCCCTTTCTCCTGGGGACACAGCTCTCCGAGACCCTTCGCTCATGCTCAGCCTCTGACGAGGACATCGTGCGAGCCATGCAGCGCTGCTGGGAGGAAAACCGCTACCTGCTGTGCCCCCACTCCGCCGTGGCTGCTCACTACCACTACTCGCAGCCGGATGGGTAAGGACAGCAGTGGTTGGGAGCATCAGGGACTGGAGCATCACTTCTCCTTGCTCCTGCTGCATCTCCACATCAGGGCTCGCTTACATCAAAAGCTTTCTTGCTTTTCTTTCCTTTCCAGCATGCCCCGGTGTTGCTTAGCTCCAGCCTCTGCAGCCAAATTTCAGGATGCTCTGCTCCGAGCTGGCCTGGTTCCCCAGCTACCCCCTGAAATCACTGCCTTAACAGTGATGGAGACCAGGTCCACTCCCCTGGACCGCGGGCAGGACTGGGCACAGGCCCTCCGGGAGCGGATTGAAGCTGCGACACAGCAGTGGGAGGCACGGTGGGGGTCAGTTGGCCTCCCTGGGACATCGGGAGGTCATGGGGTCATGCAGACCTGAGCTACCAGGGAATGGCTGGCTGATAACTCCAAGGGCTCATTTTCCATTCCCAGGAGAGACCCAAGTTATGCTGGGAGGGGAGCCTATGGTCTCTGTACAATGAATAATTAGCAGAAGCACACTTCACTATTGAATTATATAGACTATTTCATAACATTTTCAGTAAAGAGTTCTGCAATTTTATCCTGTTTTTCCTATAAAGTCATAAAACATGATTGAAACTCCGAATAAACCCACTTGTTCCATCATTACATGCTATTACAGAAAACTCCCTGAGCATTGCACGGAGTCTCCAGCTTCTTGAGCATTATCCAGCGATTCTGGCCCTGTGCTGAGGTGTTCAGCCCTGCGGTCCCAGTAGCACCCAAGATGCTGAACGAGAAATGCGTGTAGGGCTGGGGTAGATCAGCTTTACCTATCCTCATAATTTAAGCAGTGCCGGGGATCATTCCCAGGCATTGAAACTTGCTTGGTGCTAGTGTTAAATAGTGGATGTTTTCCCTGGACATGTTTATTTTAAGGAGCTACTTTCCACTGCCGGATCTTGCAGCTTTTGGTCCCAGTCCTGCTGCAGACTCTTCTCGGGCAACTTCCACTGAAATGAATAGGAAATGGGAAATTCCCCTTATCTTCAGCCTGAAACTTCAGGTATTTCAATACCACGTTCCCATCATATACATATAAATATATAAATACCTCATGTGGGAGCTGCCTCCACAAGTCATGCATCTGGCAGGAATCTCTTGTGCCTAAAAAGGGGGGGAAAAAAAGGAATAATTACACCAGAGGGAAAAAATCCCCCTTTGCCATCAAAAAAAATTCCTCTTGACATCAAAGTCCTGTAATGGGAGGATTAATTTGAAGGTTTATTGGCATTTAGGGGGTAAAAGTAAATTCTGTGAAGTGAATCAGCATGGGATGTTGCAGAATGTGCGGGAAGAGTGGGAAGCTTTGCCTGGGCTGCAAGCCGCCTTCCTGGAACCTGGGTAGCCTTTTCCTTGTCTCCCCCCTGGCACAGCTGGCCCTGTGCCACCTCCTCCATCCCACCGAAACCCTGCAGGAGAGAAGGGACTCGCCTCCTCCAAGGCAGGGGCTGAGGCTGCCCCATCCCAATTAATGGACGTGAGGGAAACATCTTAGTTGAAAATGATGCCAAGAAACGCAGTACTTGGATGCTGGATGTTTTTAAAGCTAATGGGTCTACTAGTTGCATGGATCAAGTGGTTGGGAGGAAAATGGGGGTGGCGTCCAGGGAAGGCCTGATGCTTCATGAGGCCATCTTTCACCCCTTTTTGAGATCCAAACCAGCCAGCAAAATATGTCATATTTAAGGAATAATGCAGTCTCATCCTCAGGAATAACCTTGCCTCAAAGAGTGGCTTTGCACTGTGGGGCAGTGGAGCAAGTCACTGGGGGTGTCAATGAGAACCCCCCTGATCCCATTTGCCCCCCATGATCAGCTGCCCCTTTCATTGATACACACATGATATTCGTTGGACTCCACCACCTTGAAATCTGCCTCCTCAAACCTTGCTGTTCTCGACCAGGAGCGGCTGGCTGGTTGCAATTTAGCTCTTAATCATAGTTTAAGACACCCCACGATGGGGGAGAGGCACGAAATTGTATCCAGCTCCGCATCCAAGCAAGAGATTGCAAATCTGTCTCGCCGGCCAGGACCGGAGTGGAAGGTGGAGGTGAGAGAGCAAGTAGCTGGACCCGGACCCTGTGCTGGGGAGCATCAGGAAGGATGGGGCAAGGGCAGCTGGGGTTGCTGTCCGCCAAAGCCCAGTAGTGTTTCACAAGCAGAAAGTGTGGTGAATACATCCCCACGCTCCCATACCGGAGCCTCGAAGCAGTCGGATGGGTAAAGGGTCCTCGCTGTGGGAGGGCGGCAGATAATGTCCATGAGGGGTGAAACTGGTTTTAATTCTCAAACATCCCTGAGGCTATCCCGATGGGGTGGGGGTGTTGCTTCTCCCCCAGTCCAAACCAGATGTTTTTTGGGCAGGACACTTCGAAACTGCTCTCTGGGATTTCCGGGCAGAAGAGCAGCAGGAAAAGCCTGTTTCATGCCTGGAGCTGAGGCGGAGGGTGCACAGACAAGCTCAGCTTGCAGGGCGGCCACGCTCCCTCCAAGGGCAATGCACGGCCGCCTGTGGCAGCCTGGGTGCATGGGATGTAGGGATGAACCTGGCCTCATGGCCATGCCGTTTCCCACTGCCCACTCGGGGACCATGGCAACCCCAGCCATTCCCACGCCCTGGCCTTTAGCTTCCGTTTTGGCCCCAGAATGAGTGCTCAGGGCTCTGCTTGCTCCTCCTCTGGTCTCCACCTGAGAAGGAAGGTCGGCTTTGTTTGATGGAAAAATGGAAAACACAGGGAAGAAAGTCATGCAGCAAGGCGGTACCTCCTTTGATGGGCAGCTGCAAGCTCTGGCAGCTTGATGTGTTCCCTGGGTTAACGATCATTACTTCTGCACCTTCCAGAGCTGTTAGGCCAGATTTGTGAAGTAATTCATCTCATAGGGCAACTGCTCACACTTTTCCCCAGCAAACATTCCTGCGTCATGCTCTTCACCCTGAGCAGATCTGAACTTCATGTCCTAGGAGACAGCGTTGTCCATGCCGCAGTGGCCATCCTCCACAGGGACCCATGTCTTACCAGGGATGTTCCCCTGGAAGCTAGGACACCCTTCACGCTGTGAGACGTGGTTGGGACACACTCCTAACCCCTAAGTACCTCAAGCAGGAAGCATTGTGTTGGGATGGAGATGCAATGAGTTGGGGTGGAAATGCAATGTATTGGGATAGAGGAATAGAGTCCCCCATGGTTCAGCTGGAGGTTTCTACCCAATAACTCCCACATGCCAAAGCATCCCTGTTGGTGTGTCCAACATGGGATTGGGGCGCTTGTCCCAGCATGGGTGAGGATCTGTCTGACTACAGATGGGGTCTACCCTTCACTCTGTTCTCCTCTGAGCTAGCGATTGTCACCTGGCATCGAACCCCGTGGAGACATCCACAGCAGAGCCACGCTGTGCTTCACCACTCCAACCATTCACAGTGCCATTAAAAATGCTGTTCATTAAAGGGGGATGTGGGATCACCGGTTGTCTACAGTGCTGGCTGAGCTGAAATCAGGGGTGCAAATCCCCAGTGGGCTGAGGATGCTCTTGCCCATAAGCAGAGCAGCCCAGCCTTCCCTCATGCTTTGCCACAATGTCCATCCCCATCTTCCAATTTCTGGCTGCCTACCTCATCCCTCCCACCCAAGGAATGAATTTTGGGGCGTTTCCTCCACTGACTGGGGCGTCACGTCCTTCTGTTCCAGCCTTACCTTTATGGACTGGGAGGAGGAGTCCATAGCAGGGTGAATTATAAGCAAATTCTTTAAAACAGTGTTCTGAAGGTTTGGGAGCTGAATTATTATTTATAATGCCCTGGGGGCACCGTGTAATTTATGGACAGGTATGAAGACAAGTAGGCGCTCAGACATGGGGATGAGCCCAGCATAAATGCTGAGATAGAAAGACAGATAGATGGATAGATGAAGATAAGCTTCTTGGCCAGGAGAGCTGGAGATTGAAAAGCCTGCTCTTATATAGATCTCTGCTGTCCTAGGGTAATACCTACTATGCCGGTACTCCCACTCCATATAAAGTCATCTCAGATCTGGTGTAAATGCTTTGTTTACTCGGTTTTTTAAAATTAATTTATCCCAAGTGCAAGGGGGGGGAAAAAAAAGAAAAAGAAAAGGAGTTGCTTTGTTGTTGCAATTTGCTGCTAGGCATTCCTATGTGTGCTAATGATAAGTATTAATTAAATAGCTTGCTGTTGTCTTTTAAATGCAGTTCTTTCAGGCTGTAATTAAACACAGACACCCAGCCCTTTCTGTCTGCATAGAAAGAGGCAGGCAGGCCTCCGGAGCTCTGCACTTCTTTCCTTGTAGCAGGAGAGAAGTGGAAAATGAGGCAAAACCAGTTTCCATTGAAAACTCGCCACCCTCTGCTTGTCTTTCGCGGGGAAAGCAACCAGCTCAAGGAAATTAAAGGAATGTAATTTCCCAGATCCCAGCGCTGCAATCAAAGTAAGTTTATATGCCCTTAAGATTTTGCAGCTTCATACATTTTAAAGGCAGAGGAGATCACTTTGTTTTATCTCCGGCACAAGACAGACTCCTGAACATCACTCTGCCACGTTCATCGAGCCCAGCAACTTGTTGGCTTATGAACACCTTGATCTGAAGATCTAGAGATGGGAGCCCATCCCTCTCCCTTGCTTCTCAGTTTCCCTGGGTTTTTCACCCTTATTGTGAAACACCAGGCACTGCTGTAAATCATCCCTGGCCCTCTGCTGTATCAGCAGTCAATATTAAGATGAAGGGTGCACTTCCTGGGAAAACATGAGCTCCCACCATCCTGCTGCCCTCTCTTCTCTCCTCCTTCAAATAGAAACTGGGCATTAAAGCCCTCTAGAAATGCAAATTGAAAAGTCAGGTGCTCAAGTGATGGAAGGCAACCCCCAAATAACATTTCCATATGCCAAACGGCACCTACACCGAACATTATTCCTGCCCTCAAATGCAACTGGGCTACACTTTTCTCAAATGCTGCTGTTAATCAGTGAATACCTCAAGTGACACTGGCCACCTGTTGTGTCACTTATAAGAGTGGTGGGGGACGATGCAGCTCACTTGGAGGATGCCCTGGTCAGAGCTGGGTCATGAGAGACATGGTTCTCTGTCACAGCCGCTGCGGGGATCACGGGAGGGAGGAGAGGAGGCACAGGGGGAACGGATCCAGCTCCTGCTGTTCACCCCAAATCCACAGGTCAGGCTGCAGCTGGACCCGCCTCTTGACAGGCAGTGACAGTGAATGCTTCACTGAGGTGAGGACAGTGCGAAGTGTGTTCAACAGCTGCACAGATGTGGTTTTTTGAACAGA